TAAATTTGTTCAGCACTTTCTTGGGAAGGAGAAAAATCATTTTGTTCGCCAAAAAAAAAGGAAAGCATAAATACTACTAGCCCAATCAACCAAATTAAGATTAACAAAAATTTTTGCACCATATATAAATAATTTTTAGAAAAAACAAAAAATACTTCTTAATTTTTTTAAAAAAATTTAGTATGAATATTAAAAACTTGTAAAATATATATTGTAGAAAAAATATGATATGACAAAACAAAAATGACAAGTTCTAATTTACGAACATCCAGCCACGCCTTTGGGCGAAAAGAGATACAAGAACATATAAAATCTAGCCTAAATTGGCTAAACTCAAAAAACCGGTCTGACTAAGCCGGGACGAGGAATTAACCGTGAGAATCTAGTTGGCTCGAAGATAGCCGTCAAATTTATACCTAGTAAGCGTAGCGACAATCGTTAACGAAGTCGAACTTAGTCAAATATTGAAAGGAAAACCAAATACTATGAAAGCAAATAACATAAAAACAAACAAAATTAATAAATTTAATGAAAGTATGGATCTGAAAGGAGGATTAAACTAGAATGACAGAATTTAGATGCCCCAAGTGTGAATCAATATGGGATTTTGATAAATTTGTTGGAGTAAGTTGTGGAATCTATTCCGTAAGTTTATGCGAAACTTGTCGCAAAAATAACAGCAATGAAGAATTGGAACGCTTTGGATCTATTTTCAATAAGTACTGTTGTGAGATTTTTTATTTGAGATACCCAAATGAGCCTCATATATTTTCAGCAACAGCCCCTAGCGACTATTGAGAAAAAAAAGAGTTGATTAAAAATAAAAAGGAAGAAATGGAGAAAGCAGTTAAGCTCAAAAAGGAAATGATAGAAGATGCAACTAAGTTGAAGGAAGATAGCGGACAAATAAATGATTATGATGGAATTCGTATGGCGAATGAAGTGATCAAAAATTTTGGATTTGACATTAAGCATTTAGGAGTACAACTGCCTCTAGTCGTCCAACTTGAACAAAAATATAAGCAGTAAAAAATAATGCATTGTGTCTAAAACTTTTACTTGTTGTGAGTTAGTTAAGAGAATAAGAGAACATCAAGAGGCATCAACTACTAACTGATCAGAAAAAGATAAATATATCGCTAATGAGTTTCTTTGAAAGGCATCATGGAAAATTACTAATAAGAGAATAAAAAAATGAATAAATTCAGAGCCGGTATGAACCTCTGATACAGATCATTTGTTTTGTGAAGAATGTGAAAATTGATTTAGAGAACAAGGAGAAAAGCAACTTGAGTTAATAGATGCTCAAATCGAAAAAGAAAAAGCCGACGGCACCTTTTACTCAAATCCTAAAACCAAGAAAGCATTGGAGGAAATTAAAGCAAAAGCCGATAAATATAAAAAAGAATTAGAGAGCAACGGACAACAAAATCTCCCTTTTGGCAAAAGCCCGCAGGAATAATCTTAATAGCCAGTAGTTCAAGCATAGCAACTGGTATATTAGGTTTCTTGTTGGGCTGTTATTTTTTTAAAAAACACAAACTAAAAGGTTAATAGTTTTCACCTTAACCACTAAATAAACCAAAACTAAGGCTAGTTGTGGGGCCGCCAACAAACGGGCGTAGGGGTTTAACTCCTCCAATCCTTAACCAGTAATTTATTTAGGTTAAAAAACTAGGTTGTCGGAATTTTTAGCCAACCTTAAAATGCTAACTAGAAAGGAATTTAAAATATTATGACAGACAATAAAATAAATAAAAACAATGAACTAAAAGGAGGAAAAAGATAATGACTAACGATAATTTTAAACCTATTGCTAATCTTCCTAAAACCGAAACCAAAATTGTTTTAAATGATTGATCACAACCAGTTAAAAAATCTAATTTATCCTCGGCAGCAAGAAGCAAAGTAATTAATCGTAGTGGAGGTAATTATTTAAGCCCATGGGCGGACGCCGATATTGGTGAATTAATTGGTTATGGACCGGTAGAAAGATTTGCTTCTTTAATAATATCTTGCCCAGCATGTACAAATAAAGAGATCACTGGATGAACTCATTCAGCAGATGGCTATAGCGTGCAAATATCTAATGAGGCTCGTATTAGGTGTTCTGGCTGTTACCATTGTTCTCATATAAAGAACTGGTTTTTTGCTTGTTCCCAACATCGAGGAGAATATAGAGCAACGAACCAAACTTCGTTTACTCGTGCTGTACTCATTGCTATGAATAATAAAAGAATTGACTCGGCTTTAATGACCGAATTATTGAGTTACTTGGAGGATCATTCTTGATAAGAATAGAGAGGTAAATGATATGAAAAAACAACAAATACAACAACAAAAGCAGTTAACAGCTTACGAGAAAAAAGTAATTCATGCTATCTTTCGAGATATGATGGAAGTTTTGGAAAAATACATTGAAAAATCCGGTTATTATGCTGATTGGCCATCTAGAAAACAAATCCATGATAATAATGTGGAAAGGCAATTTATTAGCCCCGAAGAAGCGGAAAATGTATTCTCAGTCAATTTATTTGGATTTAGGTTAGAATTGAAAAATAGACCGCCTTTTTTTTTGGAAGAATTAAAACAAGAATTTTATCAATGAATTAATGCCACGAGAATTGATGTGAATAATTGTCCGGAAAGATTAAAGCACATTTTATTTAAAACTCATGAAGTTTTAGAAGGGGGAGGTGATAAATTTGCCGAGAGAACGGCCAAGGAAGCTCACGAGCATGTGGAGAAAATGAGCGGAAAAGAATTTAGCAGAAAAATAAATGAAGCATTTGCTTCTTTTCAAACTCCTTTGCAAAAAGAAAGAAAGGATGCCGATTCTCTGGAAGGAAAAAGTTATAAAGATATAGAAATTGTTAGCAAATTTAATGGTAATGTAGAACAAGGGCAAGAAGCATTTGGTAGGATTGCCGGAACCGTTTCTGGTCAGGATGAGTTTCATTTCTATTCACCTTACCGTCAGCCGACCAATTCTCCACAACAAACTAATTCGGAAATAATTCAGGATATTAAAAAAAACCCCCAAAATTGAAGAGTGGATGAAATTATTACTGAATTTAGTAATTTTGGCGGAACAAGGCAAGAAACTGTACTTATCCACCAATCAGCCCGCTTGGATGATTACGACCAGCGAACAGGCAAGTTAAATTTAGTGAGCAATCCAATTTATCAAGCAAGTCGGTTTAGTCCTACGGAAATAGCCCAAATTAACCAGGTTTTAAACCTTTCTCAACCGCAGCCTCAACAGTAGCAACCGCCTGCTTATAAATGGAGCTGGCAGTAATTTAGTTTATTTAAGTAGCAGGCAGAACTAGCCAGTTTCTCGCCTGTTGCTACTGGCTTAAAAACTAATTATGACTGATTTTCATCGTTGACCCCAAGATTGACCGTGAGTTTTAATAATACCGGTTTATTTATTTATTGCTTGGTTCATTTTTGGGGCAACCGTGGCTTTTGTTTATTGACTAAAAAAAGATAACCAAAAAGCAAAAAAGTGGTTGCTTTATTCGCTGCTGACCTTAATGGTAACCGGTTTTGCTTTCTTTATTTGGCACGGAATCAAAAACGGAAAATGATTTACATTAATTTAAATAGCATAAGTTTATGCTAAAAAAAATAATATAGGTAAAAAAATATGAAAGACAATAAATTTATCACCCGATTATTAGTGCCAAAAACAGAAACCAAAACAGCAAGGCAGGGATCGGTCTTGCTTAATGGTTTGGAAAGTCCCTATATCTAACAAGTTAAACATTAGTTAAAAAAGGATAAATTTTAAATTGGTATAAAAAAACTAAAATATGTTCTTTTATTCTAATTTAGTAGTTATTAAACAAAACTAATCGGTAATTGATTTGTAAAAATATAAATATCATGCTGACTGACCCAATTGCTAACATGTTAAATTGATTAATGAAAGCAAATTTGCGTCTCTAACGTACAGTAAGTTTTACCTATTCTTGATTAAAATTAAGTATTTTTAATAAACTAACATTATATATCTATTTAACAAAGTATTGAGTAGAGGAGAGCCAAAGGCAGATTAAAGTGGAAATTAAATATTTTAATAAAAATAGTTTGCTTAACGAAATTAAACGAATTTCTAAACCTTCGCAACGAATTTATTTGAGTTTGCCGCAAATCAAAAAAAAATGTCTGGGGAGAAGAACTTATTTAATTTCTACTTCCCAAGGCTTATTAACCCACCACGAAGCCTTGGATAAAAATATTGGCGGGGAGTTGGTAGGATTTATTAGATAATTTATGACTATCGTTAATCGTATTTTAATTGTTCCGGAAAACGTTCAAGTAAATATTAAAGAGCCAGCCCAAAAAATCGAAATTAGTGGTTCCCGGGGTAAATTAGAACTAAAAATCTTTCCGGAAGTAAAGATAATTCAAGAAGGCAACCAAATATTTACTAAGCCGATAGACACTAAAAGAAGTTCAGTGGCGCGCAAAGCATACGCTCTAACGGGAACCATGAATTCTTTAATTTATAATGCCATGGAAGGAGTAAAAAATGGACACACTAGAAAACTAGTAGTTAAAGGAGTAGGCTATAAAGTATTAATAAAAGGTAAAGAATTAGAATTCACTTTGGGTAAATCGCATCTTGACCGATTGGTTGTTCCCGCCGATTTAGAGACCAAATGTCCGGACAATACGCAAATAATTATTCAAGGAGTAGATAAAGAAAAAGTTGGTCAATTTGCTGCTCAAACCAGAAGGCTACGTCGACATCGACCTTATAAATTAAAAGGAATTTATTATACAGAAGAAAAAATTAAATTGAAAGCTGGAAAAACGGTCAATAAGTAGAAAAATTTATTTTCTTTTTCTTTATCTTACCTAAGCTACACAATTTATTCTAAAACTAGGGAAAAATAGGTAATTTTAATTAATGATAAATTATTAAATGTTTACTAAGTTAAAATGGCGCTCCTAGGAAGATTCGAACTTCCGACGACCCGTTTAGGAAACGGGCATTCTATCCGCTGAATTATAGGAGCGGTTAAGGTTTTTTCTTTGCCAAAAAGAGTGCTAAATTAATTCCAATAATAACGAAAATAAAGA